AGAGAAAGCTTTTGGCCAGGGTGGTTACTTTAGGATCATGGGTCTTCTGGGTATAGACTCGACATCATAGCTTTTCTGACAAACCCTTCTAAGCTCCTCTTTCTCTTCAACAGCAATACACACTGGCTATTGTCATGCCGTGAAGGCGTAGTGTCTTTTATGTTGTCGACCCATCATGTTCATGGTAATCCTTTTGCTCTTGCAGTTGATCTTCTGAGATGTAGTGCTTGTGACGGTTTGCTGCCTTCTAGCGAGATGGCCAAACCATTTGATTTGTTGTTTCTCAGTTAATCTAAAACATTGTCGTTCCCATAGTTTGTCTGATAGAATCATTATTCACTCAATCTTGGATGGTCAGGTTGGCGGCTCACCTTGCAAGTGGTGATTTTGCATACATAGGCTTTAGAAAGTCTGATTTGTACCTAGTACTTTTCAGTGCCCCTGGTATTTCCACGGTCCATTTTGTTTGTGGTCAGCCTCTGGATCTGTTGCTGCTGTATCTGTATATTATTGATCTATAGGTGCCCTATCTGCTGCCAATCTTGTTACATGGCCAAACCATTTGATCAGTTGTCTCCTGATTTTTAATACTGTCCCGTTTATTTTAGTCAGTTTGTAAGATCTCTTAATTTTTCTATTGGCACTAAATACATCATTGTCAGTTTGCTTGCGCACTCACACACAGTTCCTGACCTATCGAGTTCAATTCAATTGCAAGCGATTTGGCAGCAGACCGCTTTAAATTGATTTCAACAATTGTACGATAGTGACTGTCAGTTTTTCAGTTTCTGCTTATGAAGATCATCGTCATAACATTCACCAGCTGTAAACTGCAATGGAAAGTTCTGGTTGTTCGTACACTTCTGGACTTCAGTCCTGTTCCAGAACTTGAGTTTTGCATTCTCATCTGCCTTACGGATCTGGCTTATGTGTATGCAGACTGTTGGTTCCTCGCCTGTCAGGCAGAGGTGCTCTGACTTTGAAGAAATTCATGGAGATGAACTTTGTCGTGCAGTGGCTAGCACGCCTACCAGCTGGCCTGGTGATCATTTGTTTGAATTCTCATTGAAGTGGGGATTGTTGAAGACTTGAACTTCCAGGGCAACTCAGGCTACATTAAGGATCTTTTTCATATATGTACCTCATTGGGCAGATAATGCTTCCTCTTCTACTTCTTCAGTATTCCAAGCCCATGAGGTTAATTGCTGCAGATATCACCTGCCTCCACTCATCTATCTGGCTGGCCTTCTCTTTCCAGTTGGTCACAATGAGTGTTTGCAGGTCTCTCTGGACATTATCTCTCCATCGTCTTCTTGGTCTGTCTCGTGGTCTACAACCATTCATCTCCCTTATGTAGACAGTTTTGATCTCTTTGCCATCTGACATTCTCTCAATATACCCTATCCATTTCAGTCGATTAGCTCTCATGATACCAGTGATCAGTGGTGATTTCAATGGATTATGAATTTCGTTGTTGCTTCTCACTCTCCATTCCCCGCTGTTTACATCTTTGATGGGTCCAAAGATTTGTCGTAATACTCTGTTTTCGAAAACCTGTAATAAGGCTTTATCTCTTTTAGTTGTGCTCCAAGTTTCAGAGCCATATAAAATGACTGGTACATTTCGTTCTTGGTGTTGCGAGACAGACACTTTGACTTTAGCATAGTATACTTTATTTCCAGATTGTATTCTAGATAGTATTTCTTCTCTCAGCATCTTTGAGCAGTTGAAGTTTGCACCAAAGTACTTGTATGATTCTGTTCGTTTGATTTTCATATTATCGACTTGAATGTGGCCGGAGTTTAAATCCTTTTCCCGTCTAGTTATTATCATGTATTCTATCTTATCTTGATCGATAACTAGTCCCATTTTCTTAACTGTTTATTTTAAGACAGTTAGTGTTTTAACAGTCTCTTGTTCATTTTCTCCAACGATATCAATGTCATCTGCATATCCAAGTATTCTTGTAGATGCAGGTAATACTAGACCTCGTTTTTTTTATAGATGGTCTTGTTCTTCTTCTTCAGCGATGTCTGGTCATGTGCTTAACCCACTGTGGGCCATAAACTGGGGTGTCATCCTTAGGTGTCTTAGATTCCCTTAAAGCTTAGTTGTCAGGTCTACTGGACGTGGCCCCATGTTGCTTCTCTGCTCCGTAAAGAGAGGACACTCTTGCAAGACAGGTTCTGGAGTCTGTTGAGCAGGAAGACATTGACAGGGAGCTGTTAGACTCATACCTAATTTATATGAGTGCTTGTTGAGTCTGCAGTGTCCAGTGCGTGAGCGAAACATTGTGACATGATCTGTTGTGTTCAGGTGTTTGAGGACGTCTGTTTCATGGTTATAACCTGTGTTTGTTTTCCAATCTGTTTCTGGGGATGATGTGGTGAGCAGCATGCCAGAGAGCCTGCAGTAGCTACCACAGAATTTCCTTGGAAGTCAAGCTTCTTCATATAGTCCATGCCTGGTGTCATTGGTCGTCATGTCCATCCACAGCCCCCTGTCATTTGTACTTTCATTTACTTCTGACACAAATGATCAGCGCAGTCGATAGAAGACTTGCTTTCAAATGCAGCAGCGATTGGCTGCAGCCCCCATAGTCGGTGTTCGAATCCGGGCGGTTCTTGAAATAAAATGGGGAATATGTATGTATTCATATACAATGGGACATATATTGATATACACTGGGGCATATACTTGATTTACAATGGGACATATATTGATATACAGTGGGGCATATACTGATATACATACAATGGGACATATATTTATATGCAGTGGGGCATATACTGATATACAATGGGACATATATTGATATACAATGGTGCATATACTGATATACAATGGGACATATATTGATATGCAGTGGGGCATATACTGATATACAATGGGACATATATTGATATACAATGGTGCATATGCTGATATACAATGGGACATATATTGATATGCAGTGGGGCATATACTGATATACAATGGGACATATATTGATATACAGTGGGTACCTCTCTTTAGTCCTTTCACTTTGGGGCAGTAGTGTATGGCCTAGTGTTCCAATGAGACCAGGAATTGTGTTGAAGGTATTATGGCTACAGTCAGAGCCTCTCGTTTTGGATAGGTGAGGTTCCTGTATGGGTTCGGGAGCCTCAGTTCAGGGGGGGGGGGGGGGGGGGGGGGATAGACCCACTGCCCCCACAAAAAGCATGTTGCACAGAACAACTTATAAGAGTGTTTCATTCAAAGTCAAGGTCATCTGCCAGAGAAGCCAGGAATGAGCAGTCTGTGTACACATATAAGCCAGATCTGTAGAACGGAGGCGCAGGCAAAACTCAAAAGCTCTGGAACAAGATCAAAGTCGAAAAGTGGAGGAACCGCCAGCACTTCTTCACTGGAGTTTACAGCCAGTAAAATCTGAGAAAAAAAGGATAGATAGGTGAAAGCAGGGAACAGCAACAAAGTCACACTGTGTTGTTGATAGGCTGTGGCCAGCCAAAAGCTACAGAGGCAAACCTGACAAAACGCCAGTTTAAATCAGGTGTACTGTGCCAGACATGTGGGGAAGTACAGTACAGAGAAACTCTGTGATAAGGAATGTGTAAGGTTTGCCTCTCATTTCATGATTCCCTTATATTACAGGGCTTGGCGGCCTGCAGGCTGAATCTGGCCCGCTGAGGACTAGCAAGTGGCCCGGGTATCATTGCCGGCTGTATTGTATTCTTCTTCCTCCGCCTTTCTAACTCCCAGTGGAGCATAGGCCCTCAACCAACTCACACCAAGTCGTTCTACCCTCGCTGTCTCATGGAGCTCACTCCATGTCCTTCCCATCTTTTTGACTTCACGCTCTAGCTCCCATCCCTGTGTTTTTTGGTCTACCTTTATTTCTGTGGCCTGTGGGTTTCATTCTAGTTATATTGTTCTCAGGTTTTCTCATCATGTGACCTATCCAACACCAGCGTCTCTTCTCCACCTCTTGGTCCACTGGGACTTGTTTGGTTCTCTCCCAAAGCTGTATACGCTGTAGATATATAACAGGCTAGATGTTGTGAGGGCCCTTTTTGGGAGTGAGGGACAGTGTGAAGGTACAGACTGATCAATATTGTCTGAGTAAAACGGTGCTGCGAGGAGTTACCAGGGGAAATGGCCGACGCTCAACACTCAAGGGAAAGGCGAGACGGATATACAATCAGACAGTTATTGGTACTATCAAAATTGGAAATTTTTCACTTGCTGCTGAAGGCGGGGACGGAGTGCTTGTGGGAATCTCCTGAATGCTGTGATGTCAATTCTTCATTCAACATTCAACATTCTCCCAAAGCTCTAATGTGTTGTATTAGTGATGTTTATATCCTGGGGTTTAGACCTCCTCCTCCTCCTCCTCCTCTTCCTCTTCTCTTCTTTCTCTTCTTTTCTTCTTTTTCTTCTTTCTCTTCTTTCTCTTCTTTCTCTTCTTTCTCTTCTTTCTCTTCTTTTTCTTCTTTCTCTTCCCTAACGTGCCTTGAAGCGCCAGGACAGATATCTCTGGAACGGACCCTTCTGTTTGCTTTGTATAAAATACTTTCAGTGTCTCTGATATTTCTGCAGTCCATCTTCTGCGTGGTCGACATCTGGATCTGTTACAGCTGCATCTGTTAAACATTGCTGTTTGTGGTGCCCTGTCTGATGCCAATCTTGTTACATGGCCAGATCATTTGGTTTGTTGCCTCTGACATGTGATAATGCCCCACGTTCAGTATGTTAGCCCGCTGGGTAAAGTTTGTTCAGTAACGCTGCACTTCAGTAATGCTGTTATAGGGTTTGTGGCTGCTTCCCTCTTAGAAAACAATGATAAAGATAACCTTGTTCAACCTGCTGCTTGCAACAAAGCTGCCAGCAGTCTCCGGTTATATGTATGGTAATTTTTTGCTGCTTTAACAAAGTGGTTATGTGTGTGCTTGTGTATGTATACCATTTCTGTTCTTAGCCACATGCGTCATTCATTACTCTTATCTTTTCCTTTGCAGCTCCACCTTCAAGAGATAGAAGAAAATCAGGTATGTATTATTGATGTCACTGTTTTTTCGTTTCAAGTTACAGATAGGTTTATTTCTTTAGTTCTTTACTTGCCACCATCTTCAGACTCAGAACACAACATACTTCACTCAGTGGACACCTAAACAGAATACAGCCACAACACTCCCCAGAGTGCCAGCTATGTAACTACCCCTACAAAGCTGTTGAACACCATCTCTTTGAGTGCCCAAAACTCAGTGAGACTAGACGAATGCTACTCCCTCCGAGACCAGACAAGTGGAACACCTTGTACGGAAGAAAAGAACAGCTTGTGAAAATATGCAAATTCCGCTAAATGGCATTGGGCCAGAGGGCGAAAGCTCATGCTCTGCTAGATTGATAACAACTTTACTTAGGCCAAATTAAACATACTTACATATCCTCACATACAGTTCCAGGTAGAAACTGTATGTTTCAGCAAATCTTGAGGCAGAGCTATGGTTGTAGAAACTTTTGTTATCCATTTCTGGATAAATACTGACATTTTAAAAGATCCAAACATCAAGGAAGATTGGCTACAAACACATCATCATGTCTTGGAAGCTAAAATATTTTGGTCACACCAAGCGCCATGGCAGATTAAAAGAAATAATAGCAGTAGGCGTGGTACCGGGAAGGAGGGGCATGGGATGACCAACGGGAAGATGGGCACAGTATATATGTGAATCTTTGAATATTAAAGCGGGAGAGCTGACCAGAGACCACGTTTCTTTTAGGCAGGCGGTGATGAGAGCAACATTCTGTAAATGACCTGCTACATGATTTTTGAATGCATTGCCTACCCTTGACCTTCTCTTCTTCTGTAGGGTTTGTACATCAGTGACATAGTATCTCTTTTCGTCCTTTTGTAGTGCATGCTGTGTGACGTTGTTAGTCATGTCTGTCCACAGACTTCTGTGTGGTTTTATGTATGTCAGTTCTTACACATGTGATCTTCCATGCCATAATGTTGAGTTGAGTTGATTCAAGATCACAGATCACAGCACTCAGGGCATTCCCATAAGTGCTCCTTGCCCATCTTCAGCAGCCAGTACCAATGGTTCCAACAGTATTCTGATTATATGTCCATCTTGCCTTTCTTCTGAGCATCAGGTATCTGCCAGATCCCCTCGTCACTCCCTGCTGCATCACTGTCACTAGACAGTGATGATCCATTTATCCACATTCTCCCACAAGGCCCTAACCATGTCTGCCTTATCATGCACCAGTATTACTTCATGTTGTTCAGAGCCAGCCAGTCTGTCTGCCTGTTTATTTCCCAGCCCACTGCCTCCTCAACAAGCATGTCGTAAGAGTCGACTAACTGGGGTTTTCCTTCAAAGTCAGGAGTGCATCTGCCTGAAAGGCAAGGAACCAAGAGTTTGCACACAGATAAGTCAGATCTTTAAAATGGATGTGCATGCAACGCTCAGGATCTGGAACAAGTCTAAAGTCCAGAGGTGGATGAACAACCAGAACTTTCAGCCGGAGTTTACAGCTGGTGAACGCGAAGTGGAAGAAGAAGAAGAGGAATCATTTAAAATTGACAGTGTATAACTATTCTGAATCTTCATTTATTTACTGTCTTTTCAAGTGACATCTTTTCAGATTATGGACTACACTTGTAGCCTCTTCTGTTTTCTTTTCTGTTGTGTTTCATGTCTGCAATCATCTGTTGTTCCGACTGTTCACAAACTCCCCTTCTTACTGGTTGAATCCTTTCTAGTATTAGAGTTATAGTCGGTGCTTATTTCACACTGTAACACCCCTTTGCTATTGGACTTTCCCAGGAAACTCCCCTGCAACTCTGTATCCCCGAGATGGGGGTGAACTCTATTAAAAAAACCCACTCTCCTACTATCTTTCTCTCTCTCCTCCTCTTCTCTCTTTGTCTCCTGTGCTGTTGAAATTTCCCTGTTAACTCCCCGTCAACTCGTCCCCAAGATGGGGTGAACTGCAATTAAAGGACCCTCTTTCTTTCTCTCTCTCTGTGTCTAAGGTGCTATAGGACTTTCCCCGGGAACTCCTTGACAACTCTCGGTGTCTCCGAGATGGGGTAAATTATAATTAAAGGACCCTCTTTTTTGTACTCTTTTCATTTCTCCTCCTCCTCTCTCTCTCTCTCACTCTCTCCTCTCTCTCTCTCTCTCTCTCTCTCTCTCTCTCTCTGTCTACTGTGCTATTGGATTTTGCCCAGGAACTCACCGTCATCTCTCGGAGTCCCTGAGATGGGGTGACTGAAATTAAAGTACCCTCTCTATTTCTCTCTTTCCCTCACTCTGTCCTTCTCTCTCTCTCTCTCTCTCTCTGTCTGTCTCTCTCTGTATGTGTGTGTAGTATTTATTCTATATATTATTTGTCTGTTTTAACCCAGTGTCTGCTGAACGTTATGACCCGGAAGCCGATGACGATAATGACCACACAAAGGTAAGCACACATCTGCTGTACAGTGACCCTGGTCTTTTATCTCAACACTGCAACCCCCGTGTGGGTTCCGGGTCCCAGTGTGGGTTTCGGGTCCCAGTGTGGGTTTCGGGGCCCTAGTGGGGTTCCGGGGCCCCATGTTGGCAAAAACAAAAATAGACCCACTGCCTGCCCAACAAGCGTATGGTAGGAGTCGACTAATTTGGGTTTTTCTTCGAAGTCGGAATGCATCTGCCCGAGCGACAAGGAACAAACCAACCTCACAAAAACAAGCCGGTAGAACGGATGTACACGCAAAACTCTCGTCCTGGAACAATACCAAAGTCCGAATGGACTAATAGCCAGGGTTTTCTGCCGGCGCTTACATCTGGTGAAGAAAGGAGACGAAGAAGTACTGCAGCACGCAAGCGCTGTATTACCAGTCAGGGCCTTGTTTAGGCATGGGTCATGCTGGGCATATGCCGAGGGCCCCCACTAACATAGAGGCCCCCACTAACATAGAGGCCCCCACTAACATAGAGGCCCCCACTAACATAGAGGCCCCAAGCTGATCTGTGAATGTCAGGAGAAAAGATGATAGTAATTTTATACTGTGCTGTCTAATTGGGTTTATGCTATAACACCAGTTTTGTTGAAGTGAGTTTCTGTATATATATATATATGTGTGTGTGTGTGTGTGTGTGTTTGATTTTATCAATCATTGAATTTCACTCCTGTGTGGTTGTTGTAGGGGCCCTAGGCAACTTGTTAGCTCAGGGGCCCTCACTACGGTTAAGATGGCTCTTGTATCGGAGCCTGTCTGGCGTCGAATACCTTGTTTTTCTTGTTTTTATTCTTCTTCTTCTTCTTCTTCTTCTTTCTTCTTCTTCGTCTTCTTCTGCTATCGCTTCGGGTATCAAGGAAGATATAATACCCTCCTTCGTGCTCTTCTTGATGCCTCGGCCATAGACAAATCGTGGTGTAGAATTTCCCTGATGTTATGCTCCCATATTGTTCTTGGTCTACCTCTTGCTCCATGCCCTTCTCCTCTTTTGGTATACGCCTTGTGTGTTATAGCATCAAAACGCATTCTCTCCAGGTTGGCAACCATTTGATTTGCTGTCTTTGTATATAATTTAGGATTGGTTCTGTGCCTACTTTATCTCGTATGACCTCATTCCTGATACCTGATTTCTATGGATAATAATTGTCTTTTATGTTTTGTTGTGTTTACCACTTCTGTCATTGACAGCATAGGGTGAGAATGATTATGCTTTGTATGAGATGTTTCATTGTGCTGGTTGACATTGCCTTAGTTTGTAAGAAGAGGGCTAGCTGTCCCAATACTTGGCCTGCTTTACTGCATCGGATGTCTGTTTCTTCGTCTAATTTACCATCTTCAATCAATGTGGTTCCAAGATATTTAAACTTAGTTTGTAACCCCCTGAAACTAAAGTTCATTCTTTCGATCCTTTGTTTTCTCTGTCTGTCTGTCTGTCTGTCTGTCTGTCTGTCTGTCTGTCTGTCTGTCTGCCTGTCTGTCTGTCTGTCTGTCTGTCTGTCTGTCTGTCTGTCTGTCTGTCTGTCTGTCTGTCTGTCTGTCTGTCTGTCTGTCTGTCTGCCTGCCTGCCTGTCTCTGTCTCTCTTACCTGCATCGGATGTATAGTCTCGCGTAACTTACCTTGTTCTTGCTGGGCGGAGGAGGGGGGGATGGTCACGTTCAACCAGCACCCTCAAAGGGGAACTTTGGGTTATAATTGTGGCTAGATTTGTGTGCGCCATATAAAATGGCTTAGCATTGCGTGCCACCGAAAGTCGCGAAAAGGACTCTGGCAGTGTTGCTGCAACCAGAAGAGACAGACCTAAATACTGTCATCTACCGGCGAACCAGTTGACGATAATCTTTTGTCCCCTGCCTTGCATCGATTTAGGCAGCCGTCGTGGTGTAGCCACAGGATACTGGCCTGCGGATCAGAAGGTACTGGGTTCTCCTGGTGCTGGATCCTTTTGTTCTTCAAGCATGACCTTGGCTCCCCGGTGGTCCCAGCCTTGAAAGGGAACCAGGTAAAGTCCTGGTTGGCGCGATGCTGACCACATGACCCATTGACCGCTGATTGGTCTCAAAAAAAAAAGTGAAGGCCTAGTACTAAATGTCCAGTACGCCTAAAGGCGTTGAAAAGAGTCTTTTTTACTAGATTGATCTGCTCTGGCAGATCGACCCATCAACTATGTCTCCCATTTTTGTCAGTTGACACGTTCATTTCTGCCTTTTAATCAGTCCTACCCCCTCCCCTCCACCCCCTCCACCATCCATATTTTTGGACTTTCCCGGAAACTCCCCACGAAATCTCGGAGTCCTCGAGATGGGACGAACTAAAAGAAAAGTACCGCCTGGTATCCACATAGCATCACCATCAGCCGCAGCTTCCCACACCACAGTTCCAATTGGTACCAAAAAAAAAAAATTCCAAACTTGATCCTTTTTCAGCCTTCCGAAGGCCTGCTATATGAAGAAAGATTCCTTGACTATCTTATTTGGTGTCCTATTCTTTGTGGTGTGAAGTCACACCTGATATTCCTGTTCTTTGTCTTCCTAAGTCCGGTGTGGTGTTTAGGGTTCTGGGTCCCGGTCTGGTTCAGCTCTCTTAACTCCTATCTCTCTGGGTTTTTGCTGACTGTTGCTGGTGCTTGGTTTAACCCGTGGTGGGCGCTGGGCTGGTGCCATATTGCCAGCTGGGTTACCGCTCTTTGAAGCTGCAGGGAAAAGCCAAACAAACACTAAGAACCAAGTCTGCATACACTGTTCCCTGCCAGGACAGAAAAGACATCTGTGATTTCATGGGCAGTTTGTACATCCACCGTTACAAATCTAATTAATATGACACACGCATTTATTTGTGGGCGAAGAGCACCTTCTGTCGAAAACGTTATCTCCATACTTTGATTCTCTTGTTATGGAATCTATTGACCACAGAGCTGACGCTTGCATATAACAGGACACTTAAGTGCCGATGTTGTCACTACCCGTCTGGATGGTTTGGGTTTCCGCTGACCTTCCTTGTTATTTGCTGTCTAGTGATGTTAGGTAATTCAGCGCGTAATTCAATAACAGTCGTGCTATTGGTGCTGTGATATACACAGACACTATCACAGTGCAATATTAATATTGGAACTGGTGGTCAGACGAGGATCCCTTTGTGTGTGGATGCTGCGTTAGACTGCTCGGGGGTACCTCTCATGTTTATGGGCACAGAAAGAGAGTGATTTCCCTTTCCATTCATAAATTGCCGTGTCGCAGGGCTTGTGCTATGTTGAGGGGGTATAAAGCTTAGTGACCGACGCAGCATTTTACTAGTTGTCGTCACCGGCCGGCGATATCGCGTGTTCTATATTACAGAATGTTAGCGCTTTTAACGGTCCCGAACTGGCCCTAACCCCAACCCCCTAACGTCCCAGGAGAGAGTGTAGCCTTTGTCCCAAGAGAGAGTGCAGCCACATGCAACTTACCTTGTCATGACGTTTGTAGTCAGGAATAGTCTGTAACTTACTTTGTCATAACGTTTCATAACTTACTTTAGGGGTTTTCAATGATAGATAGCTGTAACTATATCTTACTTTAGGGGTTTTACATGATAGATAGCTAGTCTATAACTTACTTTAGGGGTTTTCAATGATAGATAGCTAGTCTATATCTTACTTTAGGGGTTTTCAATGATAGATAGCTAGTCTATATCTTACTTTAGGGGTTTTCAATGATAGATAGTTAGTCTATAACTTACTTTAGGGGTTTTCAATGATAGATAGCTAGTCTATATCTTACTTTAGGGGTTTTCAATGATAGATAGCTAGTCTATAACTTATTTTAGGGGTTTTCAATGATAGATAGCTAGTCTTTAACTTACTTTAGAGGTTTTCAATGATAGATAGCTAGTCTATAATTTACTTTAGGGGTTTTCATTGATAGATAGCTAGTCTATAACTTACTTTAGGGGTTTTCAATGATAGATAGCTAGTCTGTAACTTACTTTAGGGGTTTTCAATGATAGATAGCTAGTCTATAACTTACTTTAGGGGTTTTTAATGATAGATAGCTAGTCTATAACTTACTTTAGGGGTTTTGAATGATAGATAGCTAGTCTATATCTTACTTTAGGGGTTTTCAATGATAGATAGCTAGTCTATAACTTATTTTAGGGGTTTTCAATGATAGATAGCTAGTCTTTAACTTAATTTAGGGGTTTTCAATGATAGATAGCTAGTCTATAATTTACTTTAGGGGTTTTCATTGATAGATAGCTAGTCTGTAACTTACTTTAGGGGTTTTCAATGATAGATAGCTAGTCTGTAACTTACTTTAGGGGTTTTCAATGATAGATAGCTAGTCTATAACTTACTTTAGGGGTTTTTAATGATAGATAGCTAGTCTATAACTTACTTTAGGGGTTTTGAATGATAGATAGCTAGTCTATAACTTACTTTAGGGGTTTTCAATGATAGATAGCTAGTCTATAACTTACTTTAGGGGTTTTCAATGATAGATAACTAGTCTATAACTTACTTTAGGGGTTTTAAATGATAGATAGCTAGTCTATAACTTAAATTAGGGGTTTTCAATGATATATAGCTAGTATATAACTTACTTTAGGGGTTTTCAATGATAGATAGCTAGTCTTTAACTTACTTTAGGGGTTTTGAATGATAGATAGATATAGTCTGTAACCTACTTTGTCGTGAAGTTTTCAGTGAAAGATAGCTAGTCTATAACCTACTTTGTCATGAGGTTTTCAAGAATAAATAGCTAGTCTGTAACTTTCTTTGTCATGAGGTTTTCAGTAATAATTAGCTAGTGTGTAACCTACTTTGTCATGAGGTTTTCAATCATAAATAGCTAGTGTGTAACCTACTTTGTCATTAGGTTTTCAACGATAGATAGCAAGTCTGTAACCTACTTTGTCACGAGGTTTTCAGTGATAAATAGCTAGTCTGTAACTTACGTTTTTACCATTCTTCACCAGCTCAAGGCC